AGAACCCAGCAGGTTTTGGCAGAAATCCCTCCAGATTTAATTGTTAAAATTTTGGAATTTCAAAATCACATAGCCACTACTGCAGTCACGTGACATCATGTGTTATTCATAACCAGCAATAGAAAACAAATTGTCTACGGTTGCCTTTTCAGCAGATCTGAGTTTTGGGGTAAAATCCCAAACAATAATGGTGGGTCTGGTGTCAAAATATTGAATGTAATCAAAGTAGAGAGAGAGCAATGTAGAAATCATCTGCTCCATAGGTAGGGGGAGGGTTTGGGATGGGGGTATTCTGGGGTTTTTGGTGGTGGAGAATTGGCTCTGGTAAAGGTATGGGTGTTTCATTGTATGACCGAAACTAAAACCCGAAAGTTTTGTAACTGCTCTCATGGTGATTCAATAAATAAAATGATAAAAAATGAAAAAAAAAAGTAAGGTGGATTTCATGCCTAATTCAATCAGCCTAATCAGAGGCTGAATAAATAACAGTACTCTGACAAGAAAAAAAAAAGTTCTAGATAGTACCAGCTACATTTTGAGACTCAAATATCTCGGAACTGAGAATATTCATCAAAAATAGATCTTGTTTGATTACCAACTACTGGTCAAGAGTAACAGTACAACATGTAGAGTACTTTACCTGCATGTGACTGACCCAGGTTTTATACTCAGGCCCATATATAGAGTCCCTCAAGCACCACCAGAAATGATCCTTAAGCACAAATTCAGGAGTCAGTCCTGAGCACTACTGGGTGTGGCCACCCAAAGAAAATAAGAAAAAAGATGATTCACCCACGGAATGAACCTCCTCAAAACAACAAACTGGTTCAGTTGGTTATATTTGCTTCTAAATTCATGTTTCAGGGGCCAAAGCTACAGTTCAAGGCACTGAAGTACACACGTCCATGCAGACGCCCTTTGTTCATTCTCTGAGGCCACATAGTCCCACCAGCACAGAAATCCCTAAGCACCAAAGGGGAAGGGGGTGGGGGGTTCTGGTCCTATACCCCAAACTCATGTTTCCAAAGATATCACTTTTCAAATTTCAATTTTCCAAACTGCCAATTAGAAATTGTACATTTTTAAAAAGTAAAATTACAGAGTAAAATTTAAAAATGGGTCTTTTTTTAATGGTAAAAGGTAAAGGTAAAGGCCCTCCCGTTGATCGTCGATTTGCTCGAGCGGGCCCAGTAACGTCTCCATTGGAGACTTTGTTGTTACTGTGTCTGGCATATCGAATACTCTCGGTAGCTTGCCGGGCTCTCCGAGAGGGGCGGAGGAATCGAACTCGGGTCGGCCATGTTGGCCGCTTGTAAGGCGAACGCCCTACCTCTGTGCTATCGTATCTGTCACTGTATTATACAGAATAATTTCTTCAATTCTTTGTGATTCACTATTTGCCCCTCCTAGCTCTCTGTCCTTCCAGTCCCTGGCAACTACTCATACCCCCCCCTCCAGAGTTCTGCTTTTTCAGGAATGTCAGAGAATCACAATAATATGCTAGTAATAATATGCTTTTCCTGGAATGCCAGATAGTCAGAATAATATGCAAGTCTACCTCTTTATAGAATGATTTAATAGTAAAAATCGATTTAGGATACCTTCATGCTTTTATATGGCTTAATAACTCATCTCTTTTTAACAATGAATAACACCCCATTGTCTGTATCTATTCTGACATTTATTTGCCTACTAAAGGGCATCTTGGTTCCTTCCAAATATTGATAGTCATGGACAATGCTGCTATATCATTCAATTGAAGGTTTTTGTGTGGACAAGAATTTTTTTGTTTCTTCCCAATAATATCAGCTTATCAATGTACTCTAAAAGACATTTATTGTTTTATGGAAGTAATACTGCATTATAAATCCATGTAAGTTTCAGATCTGCATTATGATAAATCACCATGTGTACATATTACACTAACTTGCCACTAAAAGTCCAATTCTAACCTTCAACATATAATTCACTCCTGTTACCTGATTTCCCCAAATTCTTTCTCCATTTTCTTATGGTAATCCTTAATTTGTCATATAGTCTAAATATTTATTTTTATTCATATCCATTTGTTTGGTTTCTCTATATAGCATATATATGTATATATTCATATATAGAGAGAGAGAGAAATACATAAAATTTCAAGTCCCTCACCCTCATTTTAGAAGCTTGCTTGTCTTTGGAGTTGTGCACTGCGATATTGTCACTGACTCTTCATCAGAGGCTCCCCGCAAAGTGTGAGTCCTATATTTCTAATGTCAGTTGTTCTCTGAATGAACCCATTTATTCTGAGTTAAAGTATTGTTTGATACATATGGCTGCAGACTTGAAGCATCCTCTTCAAACTTCTTTGCTCTTTGTTTGACTTCCATATTTATCTTAATTGCCCAGGAATGAGGGTCAGATGAGGTGTCTTTCCCTCTTGCATTCACCACTCTGTTTTCTAAAAGTATACTTTTCAAACACTGACCAGAAGGGCACCACTTCTACGGAGGTGAAATCTGTAACACCCACTCTGGACAAAAACTGATTGTTAAAGTAGGTAAAGGGATATACATGATAATCTTTCAGTATTTTATTGCAAACCATAATGCCCAAAAAGGAAAGAGAGAGACAAAGAGAGAGAGACAGAGAAAAGAAGTAAAGTGCTTGTCATACAGTATGTGTGTGTGTGTGTGTGGGGGGGGTTGAGGAAACTAGGGCATGGTGGTGGGAAATGTACACTGAGAAAAAGATAGGTGTTAGAACATAATATGACTGAAACCCAATTATGAACAACTTTGTAATTGTGTATCACTGTGATTCAATTAAAAATTAAAAATAAATAAAAATATATTGTAGAACAAAATAGAACTGCCTTCAAGAAAAAGAAACTGGAGCCGAAGAGAAGGACTACATGGATGGTGGGATCCACAGATCCCGAAGGAAAAAAAAAAAAACAGGTTCCAAAAAGAGCCGAGATCATCGGGAAGTCCCAGATGGGGTAGGTACCGCATCCCGCCTCCCCCAGATGGACCCCCGGTGACCAGAAGCCTCTACAAGCACAGCTCGAGTATGCGGGAACTAGGATTTTTCCTCAAAACCACGCGGCCGCTTATGCGGCCGCGCAACATCTCTCTATATACAAAGTGAACCATGGGAAGTAAACCACCCAACGTTTCTCTCTGAAAATCATAGTTAAGTTTGGAGCACGGCCACAGCCCAGAAACACAAGGACTTAATGCATAACCCAGCAGCTTGGAGCAGAAAAGTGAACGGGCTATGCGTTAATCCAGGCCATCATGTCTGTCCGGAGGGGAAAGGGTGTTGCCCCATTCGCCCTCTCTTCTCTGGAAAGAAGGATGGCGGCTGCATGGGGGCCTTGTGGACAGCAGGTATGAGCCGGGGGTGTGGGGGCGACTAAAACCTCATGGGAAGGGGGGCGTTCCAGTCCGTCCTTCACGCCCTACCGAGGCCACCAGTTGCCCCCCACGAGCGGCTCTCCAGCATGACCACAGCCCCAGAAACACAAGGATTTAATGCAGAACCCAGCAGCTTGGAGCAGAAAAGTGAACGGACTATGCATTAATTCAGGCCATCAAGTCTGCTGGAGGGGAAAGGGTGTTGCCCCATTCGCCCTCTCCTCTCTGGAAAGAAAGATGGCGGCCACATGGGAGCCTTGTGGACAGCAGGCATGAGCCGGGGGTGTGGGGGCGACTAAAACCTCATGGGAAGAGGGGCGTTCCGGTCCGTCCTTCACGCCCTACTGAGGTCACCAGTTGCCCCCCCACGAGCGGCTCTCCAGCACGGCCACAGCCCCAGAAGCACAAGGACTTAATGCAGAACCCAGCAGCTTGGAGCAGAAAAGTGAAAGGACTATGCGTTAATCCAGGCCATCATGTCTGCCCGGAGGGGAAAGGGTGTTGGTCCCTTCCGCCCTCCTCCCTCTGGAAAGAAAGATGGCGGCCACATGGGAGCCTTGTGGACAGCAGGTATGAGCCGGTGGTGTGGGGGCGACTAAAACCTCATGGGATGGGGGGTGTTTCGGTCCACCCTTCACGCCCTACCAAGGTCACCAGTTACCCCCCACTAGCGGCTCTCCAGCATGGCCACGACTCCAGAGCACACAAACCAATTTCTTAACTATCTGACTTTCAGTAGAAATACTTCCAGGGTCAATAAGTAAAATAGCAGAAATCCAAAACCAACATTTAACTCTTGAACCCAGCTGTAGAAAGCAAATCACTTCACAATGCTTTTTCAGCATGTCTGATTGGGGGGGGGGGGGTAAACTCTAAATAATAGTGGTGAATCTTTTATTGAAACAATGAATCTAATCAAAGGAGATAGAGTGTTAACTAGAATTCATCTGCCCCACAGGGACTGGGAGGGGTTGGGGGTGGGGTTTTATTGGGGTTCTTCATGGTAAAAAATAAGTATTGGTAAAGGGAAATGTGTTTGATATTTGCATGACTGAGACCTAAACCTGAAAGCTTTGTAACCTTTCCCACAGTGATTCAATAAATAAATAAAGAAAGAAAGAAAGAAAAAGAAACTGGTCTATACCCAGATGATAACCCACACTTGCCTTCTGTGATTATTAAATAGGAAAGTGTGCCCTAAAGTTCATCAAAACCTTAACATTAATGAACAACATAAATAAAAGAATCGGATTAAAATGCAAGCATAGCCAAATCTCCTGTTCTAGCTCCCTCCTATAATACCATTCTCACTTAAATACACACACACACACACACACACACACACACACGTATATATATTCTCCCTATTCAATTACTCTTTTCTGTCATCCTATTCAATTCTTATCTCTACTTCTGCTACATTTCTACACATAGGTCTCAAGCACTTTGTCAAGATAACCTCTCCACTCTTCCTGGATTGTGAATGTATTGGCTTTATAACATCTGATAAGGAAAAGGTATATATGTGTTACATTGCCATCTGAATAGATTAGCATTAATTCAGCATCCTGAGCTGTGGTGTATTCGTTACTTATGATTTACCTGAAAAGGCAGAGTAGATTCTCCAGTCTTCACAAAGAGATCAATCTTTGCTCTTCTCCACTGAGATTGGGAGACTCCAACCAGATCACCTTGCTTTTGCCAATTTTCATCCAGGGATGTTCTCGTAAAAACTGAGAGATATGACTGCAGAGACAAATGGTACCAGAACTGCACCTGTTGGGGAGAAAAAAAAGATGCTTAAATGATATTGGCAAGGTGTGAACCTGTCTACAATAGCTTTACTATAACTAAAAATACACCAATAACCACTCTGGCATAAAAGAAAAATCTCAATTCTCCTTCTCTCCAAGTTTACAAAGAAGGAGAAATGGGAGGAGTATTGGCCATCTCTGCGTTCTGGAACCAAGGAAAGGTCAATGCCAGCTGCATTAACCAAGTTGCTGACACAACCCAATGATATGTCTAAAGAAATAGGACTAAAGAAATATGTCTAAAGAAACAGCAATCTACTAGACCAGTTTGAGAACACATATATACTCACTCTGCTCGGCATAGAAGCACTTCCCTTTCAGAAAACTTTCCAAGGCCCTGTCTTTCTGGTTTCTTGTCAACTTGGGAGGCACACATTCTGACTCAAAATTGCAAAATCAGATTTCACTATGCACTCTCTTTGACATTTCAAATGTCAGGCCAAAAAATAAAAGTTTTCCTGAAAAACTGTTTTGTCAGCTTCGAATAAAATAGGAATGAATACTTTTCATTTGTCTCTGCCAGGACAATATCAAAGAAGTGGGAAAGTTACAGGATAATTAATATGTTAGGGATAGCTGATAAGTATTAATTTGATACTTAAACTAAGGAAGAAAATGTTCCTCTTTTGAAACTAAAGAGCATCAATCACTCTTTCTCCCTGTCACCACCAAAGGTAGCATATCTGATGAAGACTTGACAGGCTGCCTATGTAATGAAGAAAATATATGGAAAGAGGATTGTTTTAAATGCTGCACATTTACTAAACACTAGTTAGGACACCATGAAAGGAAAATTCTTCTCAATGGCTGGATGATTCAATTCAAGAGACAGGTCACTAAAATCCCCATAAAAAGCAAGTTCAGACGCAGCCTTGCTTTCTCTCTTCATTATGACATAGAGAGTTAGAATGCTCCATAACTCAAAGTAAAGCTCAATGAGATGAGACCCTTGAGAAATAAAATCCTTTTCCATAGGGCCAAAAGCATTCCATTTCTGTTTCACGACAGTTTAAATTGCATTTTCCCTTTGTCATTGTGTTTTAATTTGGGTACAAGGACAGATATTAGAGCACAGAGGGGCTAGCCACTTATTTCACTTGTTGGTACCAATTTGATGAAGTGTCTTCTCATGCTTCTATAAAATGATTCAGTTTAAAACAATAGGCATCATTTTCTATTGCTTGGTAGAACAAACTTCTTTCAATGTCCACTGAATTACCACCACGGGATCAATACATTCCTTCCAGCTGTCCATTTCTTTTAAAATTTTACCGCCATGCTACCTAAACTCAAGTCTTGACAGGTAAGCGGCAAATGTAAAGTCAAATGGAAATGTTTAACTAAATTCCCTGGAAAGGGAGGATTTATGTTCCATACTACAATTAAATTTTAGATCTCTGCTGTAGTTTCAGCATGTTCCAAGCTTGCAAAAATGCAAAACCAGAGCTTTCTCTGATTATACAAGAGATGTGCATATCCTGTTAGAATCTCAAACTGTCAAAATGTCACTCAATACATCACCAGTGTAAAATGATTTTAATAGTATATTAAGAGTAAATACCAGTGGGATCCATGTTCAATAGAATCAGATATTGAGACTTATATTTAATTTACTATTTAACAGAACTGAAGACACTTAAAAAAATCCTTTAATTCATTGCAGACCAAGAAACCTTCCATCATCTTTATAAATTTAGATTATTAATAGTAATTTATTGAAAAATATTAGTACAACTATAATTTTAGATAGGTAATCAATAACAAAACTAAACACTGAACATTCCCAATTTGGGCTCTCTCACTATCTTCTCGCATGGCAGAGCTTGGCAAGCTCCCCGTGACGTATTCGATATGCCAGACACAGTGACAATGAAATCTCCAATGGAGACGTTACTGGGCCCGCTCGAGCACTATCTTCTCAATTTGCTGTAAAGTACCCACTTTACCATTTGAGGGTGCTATTTTATTTGCTGTTCCACAAATATAACCATTAATGACAGGTTCCAACTAGGAATATCAGCTGGTTTTTCTGACTATTCAATAAGATAAGAATCTGGTTTGTTCGGGTATTCTGTAACTTTGATGAAAGCAAATACAAGGAAAAAAATAAAAACATCTCAATAGTCCTAGAATATTCCTTTGGGAGAGAATAATTAACTTTCTTTAATAGTCTAAAACTACTATTTAAGCTGGAAAACATTATAGAGTATTTCAAATATCCCTCCCTTGAACTCAGATTACTAACATTCAAGAAAATTTGGATTTAAAAAAAATCTCTTCTCTGCTTCTCAGTTTATAATAGTTTCTTCAAAAGTTCTCTCCCCCAAATCAAGCCAGATCATTAAGTCAGTATCTGAAACCTTGGGATGGTGATGATTTGGTCCTGATATATAAACCATCAAGCATCTAGGCTACCCATTATCTTTTTTTTAAATTTTTATTAGTGAAACACCATGAGGTACAGTTGTAGATTTACAAATTTTGTCCTTGGGTTTCGATTATACAATTATCAAATACCCATTCCTCCACCAGTGCCCATTTTCCACCACCATGGATAATATCCCTCCCACCCCCATCCTCCCCATCCCACCCTGCCTTTGTGGCAGGGCATTCCCTTTTGTTCTCTCTCTCCTTTTGGGTGTTGTGGTCTGCAAAAGAGGCACTGAGTGACAAACATGTTCAGTCCATTGTCTACTTTCAACATGCATCTCCCCTCCTGGGAGGATCCTCCAAACACCCTTTATTTGGTGCTCCCTTCTCTATCTGAGCTGCCCTTTCCCCTAGAATACCCGGCTGCCCTCTAAGCTATGGAATAATCCTCCTGGTGCTGATCTCAGCTATTCTTGGGTATTAATCTCATATTTTGTTACTTTATATCCCCCAGATGAATGCAATCTTTCTATGTCTATCTGACTCATTTCACTTAGCATGATACTTTCCGTGTTGTACCACTTGTATGTAAATTTCATGACTTCATCTTTTCTAACAGCTACATAGTACTCCATTGTGTAGATGTACCAAAGTTTCTTTAACCAGTCATCTGTTCTTGGGCATTCAGGTTTCTTCCAGTTTCTGGCTATTGTAAAGAGTGCTGCAATGAACAAACAAGTGCAGATGTCACTTCGACTATACATTTTTGCCTCTCTGGGATATATTCCCAGGAGTGGTATTGCTGGGTCAAATGGGAGCTCAATTTCTAATTTTTTGAGAATCGTCCATACTGTTTTCCAAAAGGCTACCCATTATCTTAACTAAGCTCCCACCTAAATAACTTTTCACAGAAAGTTCCAAATTTAAGCAGCAAGAGAAATCTGTCCTCAACTGAAATTGACCATAAATTAAAATGCACTGGATCACAAATGACTAATGAAACATATAGATCATCTCTAAGGAGAAAAAAATGAATTCTTAGTAAGTCTCTGTTTGTAATACTTATATTTAAATTTCTGTACAAGGAGCCAAATTAACACTTTCTATCCCTTTGTATCCAATGTCTAAATAATAGCAATAGCATGAATCCAATATGTGACCTCGAAATAATACTTAAGCTTATAAAGTCCTTTGAAAGAGAAAGTAAATGTTTCAGAGGCTCTCAAAAAGTAAATATGTCTGTGTCTACCACATAAGATTTTATAAAAATAAAGTAAAGACCTAAGAGCATGCATTTTTTGAGAGCCAAGTGGAATACAGGCAATTATTGGAAACCTAATTTTCATTAAGAAGTGGGCAGGGAAATACAAGTGGAGGCAAGGTGAGGGGGTGAGGGGTGGCGTGAGGGAGAGGTTGGAAAACCTAATACATCTGAGACCTATCATTCAGATATCTGTGAAGTTGAAAGTGTAAGTAGGTCCATACCACTGGATGCTACCATATTTATCACCACAAATGCCTGACTAAGCATCCAAACACCTACATTTAGAGGTGGATGAGTTCCACTTGTGGCGGCATTAATCCTTTTGTTATTTTTTATAAAGAAACAAACTGAAATCCTAGGACTCTAAGACACAGGAGTACTCTCAAGATGATGGGGGACAAAGACAAGCTCAACTTAAAGATATGGTGATGCTTGTGGATGACTCCTGGCTCTATTCAGAGGCATAATTAATCTGGGTAACTTGGGGAACCATGAGGTGACAGAGATCTAACCCTGGACCAGGCATCCTGTAAGCAAAGCATGTGCTCAGCCCACTGCATTATCTCTTTGACCCAGGTGTTAGTTTTATGGGGGAAAGGGAAGTAAGTATAGAGAGACTACATGGCAAACACTTCCAGATGCTTTGGTCACATTTTAATCCTCACAACCATGACGGGGATGTGTTAACTCACGCTATTTGTGTAGACACTAAATTTCAAAAGAGTATATAACCTGTGGCAGAACTGAATTTTAATCAAGTCAGTCTGACTCGAAAGTTCTTATCAATTATGTTATAGATATAATATCTATTCCTCTTCTGTTTACTTTATTCCCAAGGGGTAGCTGAATAAAGTATCAAAAAAATTTTAACCAATCAAAATTATAAAAATGAATATTCAAATATCTCAATCTTTTAGATGCTTAAAAACTACAAATAAGTTAAAATAAGCAGTTAATGAGGATGGCACATATAGAAATTAAAACAAAATCTGAAATTGCACATATTTCTCCTTTTTTAATGGCACTTTTATCTTTTTTAAATAAGAAACTCTGTTCATTTGATGGATTTTATTTTAATCAATTAACATTGTTGGTCAAAAAAAAACATGGAATTCTGGCAATGTGTATTCAGAGTTTTAAACTATTGAAAGAACAATGTAGAAAAAATATTTAAAATAGCAGGTATATTTTTAAATAGGTGCCCCCCCCCAATAATAAACAGTGTAAGTTACATGCTGAAAAATCTTCTTGAAACACCATGACATTTTGTGTTGAAATAGTTCACATAGGTGCCTCAAGTTATTATGAAAAATGCAGTAAAACATACAAGAAATTTATAAACCCAAGACCCGCAGATTGGTTTATGTAAATTCCAATAGTTGATTACCTGGCATGGGATAGAGACAGTGGCTGATTTTGTAAGAATAGGACTTCCAAGTCTGGCTACTCCAGGAGACTTACGTGATCCAAAATAAAGAAACGTTCCTGCAAAAACAAATGGGAAATCAAGTTTAACTGTTGTATACGGAACTCTTTTTTGTTCTAGTATCTTATCCAATGCATTCAACTATCAATCAGATAAAGAAAATCATATTCTTATTTACCATTAAGCTCGGTAGATAACAAGAAGCTCTTTCATCTTTAGTATTATACTAAAAATCTAAAATAAAATTTAATGCATTGAAAACAGGGCCTTGATCTAAAACCTCGAGGCACATATGTTTAATGACTTAATGCAATTCGTAGAGTTTGAAATAAAATTAGATGAAGCTTTTTAAGGTTATGATCAGATATTCAATATGCCTGTATGAAATTCCCATAAGAGCTTTATTTTTTAAGTTTTTCAGAAAGTACTGAGTGATGTGAGCCCACGGAATGAGTTTGATTTCCCTTGGGGTTTACACATTTGACATTGTTGTCTGTGCTAGTGGGGATGAAAGCTTAATTAAAGATCTAATCTGAACGTTAACAAAATAACTGCCTCTAGATTTTAATGGTAGTGGATGTGCTCAGGGCAAATGTACAGAGGATAGCATCTTCACCAGCTCAAAGGATCACACATTCTGAAATACTGGCAGGGGAAGCTCCAATGAATATTGAAAATTCACAAGGAAGTCTAGGCAAAGGCAAAGTATGATTCTGCTTTTTGATAAGCACTTAGTGATGGGCAAGTTGGAAAGTCAACTCTTGACTAAATAAGCACCTCATTCAGAAGGCGATTTTCCAAGATACAGCACAATGTTGATTCCACAGAAAGGGTTTAAGATTTAAAGAGTGTAATTTTATAGATAATACTATACAATCAAGGCTGCACATCAATGAACCCAATGTAATGGAAACACTAGCATAAAAAAATCTTAGTAGTATTGTAAATCAATATATAAATCAGTAAAAAAAATATATTAAAAATACACTGAGGGAAAATAAAACTCTTATCTTGATTTTTGTAGTGGTCTTACCATTGTATATATTTATTCAAACTAAGTATACCAGAAAGATAAAATTTTATAACATTTAAACTGTACTTTAACATAAAATTATTTTAAAGACTATAGTGGATGTTTGGAAAGAACTGTCATCAATTATAAATTATCATAAAGAAAACAAGATAGAGATCACAGTTACATTATGATCTCAGTTTTTGCAAAATAATCACAAAAATACCCATAATTTTAATGTTTATGTGCCTACAAGGTGTTCATATGTATGTGACAACACACTGTAATACTGTCCTCCCATTGTTCATCGATTTGCTCAAGCAGACACCAGTAAAGTCTCCATTGTGAGACTTGTTGTTACTGTTTTTTGCATATCAAATACACCACAGAGAGCTTGCCAGACTCTGTCTTGCAGGCAGGATACTCTCTGTAGCTTGCTGGGCTCTCTGAGAGGGACAGAGGAATCAAACCCAGGTTGGTCTCATGCAAGGCAAACACCCTACCTGCTGTGCTATCGCTACAGCCCACAAGAATAGAAAAAGGTATGAGATCCTTTATTGGATGTTTATCAGAACAGCTAGGAATTGGAAAGAAAAAGCTACAAAATTAATGCACAGTAGAAAAAAATCAAAGCATTATTCTGAAAAGAAAACCTGCGTAATATGAACCCATTCATCTTTATGTCAAATTGGGAAAAATATTGGCTAAGAACCATTTATAAAGGTTAGAATCCCCAAATACAAAACTTTAAAAATACCAGTTCTAGAACTCTGTGTCTTCAGATAAGGGAATTGTAAAATTCTTTCTACAGAGTAACCTTTGAAACATCTACTTCAATCCTTCTTTTGTCACTCTGGTAAAATTTTTCTCTTCACTATGCATTTTAAAACTACTATCAATTTTCTTAAGATTTAATAAAGATAATTTATTTAAAAAACAAAAGCTGGGACCGGAGCCATAGTATAGCAGGGAGGGTGTTTGCTTTGCAAACAGCCGACCTGGGTTCGATGCCCGGCACTCCATATAGTCCCATAAGCACCACAAGGAGTAATTACTGAGTGCAGAGCAATGAGTAACCCCTGAGCATCCCCAGGTGTGACCCATAAAGCCAAAAAGCAAAACGAGAATAGTATTAAACAAATAAGTAAATAACAAAAGCATTAATTCATTGACTGAGCTATTTCTTTGATTTGCCCTTGTTTTAGAAGATTATTGTCTGATCCCTGATGGTATTTCCAGTAATCATACTAGAACAGAAAACAAATTATTGTGTCATGCTTTTGACCTGTGACTACATAAAAAATATCTTAACATTTATTATTTCACCTAATCCTCATAATTATTTCATTAGAAGAGCTTTTTAAACTTTAATTTATTTATGACTATAATGCAAACACAAAAGATCGTAAGTTTCAAAGCAGTTATAATTAAAACAGCATGGTAATGGAACAAAGGCAGAGCTGCAGACCAATGGAACAGTGTTGAATAAATTGACATCTCCCCCTCAACCATATGATCATCTAATCTTTGAAAAAGGATCAAGAAATGTGAAGTGGAGAAAGGAAAGCCTCTTTAACAAAATGTGCTGGAAAAACTGGATGACTACATGCAAAAATATGGGCTCAGATCTCTGCCTAACACCATGTACAAAAGTAAGTTCAAAATGGATAAAAGACCTCAACATCAGACCGGAATCCATAAAGTACATTGAAGACAAAGTTGGTAAAACCCTCCATGACAATGAAGCTAATGGTATATTCAAAAGATGTCACGCCACTGACCAAGCAAGTGAAAACAGAGATAGACAAGTGGGACTACCTTAAACTAAGAAGCTTCTGCACCTCCAAAGAAACAGTGACCAAAATGCAAAGACAGTCTACAGAATGGGAAAGGATATTCACCGAGTACACATCCGAAAAGGGGTTGATATCAAGGATATATAAAGTACTGGTTCAACTCCAAAAGAAGGAAGCATTCAACCCCATCAAAATATGGGGTAATGAAATGAGCAGAAACTTTCTCAAAGAAGAAATCCAAATGGCTAAAAGGCACATGAAAAAAATGCTCTACGTCATTAATCATCAGAGAGATGCAGATCAAAACCACAATGAGATATCATCTCACACCACAGAGACTGACCCACATCCAAAAGAACAAAAGCAACTGGTGTTGGCATGGATGTGGCGAGAAAGAGAGCCTCCTTCACTGCTGGTGGGAATGCCAACTGGTTCAGCCCTTCTGGAAAACAGTATGGACCACTCTCCAATTATTAGAAATTGAGCTCCCATTTAACTCAGCAATACCACTCCTGGGAATATATCCCAAAGAGGCAAAAGAGTATAGTCAAAGTGACATCTGCAGTTGTTTGTTCATTGCAACACTCTTCAATAGCCAGAATCTGGAAAAAACCTGAGTGCCCGAGAACAGATGAATGGTTAAAGAAACTTTGGTACATCTACACAATGGAGTACTATGTAGCTGTTAGAAAAGATGAAGTCATGAATTTACATATAAGTGGTACTACATGGAAAGTATCATGCTAAGCAAAATGAGTCAGAAAGAGAGGCATAGACATAAAAATATTGTTTTCATCTGGGGAACATAAAGTAACAAAATAGGAGAATAACACCCAAGAATGGCTGAGATTAGTACCAGGAGGTTCACTCCATGGCTTGGAGGCCAGCCACACACACTAGGGGAAAAGGGAGCTCAGACAGAGAAGAGAGCACCAAATAAAGGGTGTTGGGAGGATCCTCCCAGGATGGGAGAAGCATGCTGAAAGTAGACTATAGATTGAACATGATTGCCACTCAATGCCTCTTTTGCAAACCATAACAGCCAAAAGGAGAGAGACAACAAAAGGGAATGCCCTGTCACAGAGGCAGGGTGGAATGGGGGGGATGTGGGGTGGGAGGGATACTGGGATCCGTGGTGGTGGATAATGGGCACTGGTGGAGGGATGGGTATTTGATCATTGTATAATTGAAACCCAAGCACAAAAATTTGTAAGTCTACAACTGTACCTCATGGTGTTTAAAAAATTAAAAATAAAAATGGAAAAAAAGTTCGTATCTTTGTAACTGTACCCCACAGTGATTCACTAATAAAAAATAAATAAATTTTAAAAAATAAGGTATAGTTCGCGCTGTCCCTCGGACCCGGGGCAGGGATTCCACCGTGCAAGTGTCTGGAGGCGTCCCCCGGATGCTGGGAGGAAAAGGGGATCTGAGCCTGTCTGCCTGTCCCTTTCCGCCGCCCAAACTGAGTCAGTCTCTTTTCCCCCACCCAGTCTTTACTTCCTGGAGAGACATCAGGTATCCGTGGGGCCCTGGCCACTTTAGAGGTGGGCGTGGCTTTAAAAAGTGGGCGTGGCCTAAATTTTGGTGGGACAATGCTTACGCGGCCGCAGGTAGTTCACTCAAATCAAGAAATATTACCCCTTCACATACACAACAACATGAAGAAACAACGCAAATCCCCACCACAGGGAGACCACGAGGAAATAAGTCTAGAAGCCTCAGTAGGTGCTAGCCACCTTAGGGACCTCCCTGACAAGGAATTCAGATATGAAGTCATCAAGATGTTCAATCAACTGGATGAAACAGTCATACAGATATCCGCTATTTAAAACAAATGCTAACAGATTTTAAGGAGGACATTGCAAGCAACACAATAGTACTTGGAGACTTCAACATTGCCCTATCACCTCTGGACAGATCAACAAGAACAAAACCCAGCAAGGAATCATTGGCTTTGAAAGAAGAAATAGAAGAGAGAGGGCTTATAGACCTATACAGGGCTTTACACCCCCAAAAAGAAAGAATACACATTCTTCTCCAGTGCACACGGAACATTTTCCAAAAGAGACCATGTGCTGGGACACAAAACATACCTCAACAGAATAAGGAAGATAGAAATAGTATCAGCCATCCTTTCCTATACGCAAACAGTGAGAGAGAAGAAAGCAACATGAAAAAAACAATCCCATTCACAATTGTGCCCCAGAAAATCAAGTACCTAGGAATCAGCTTAACTAAGGAAGTAAAG